AAGGTGGGCCGCTTCTTCCCTTCACCCATGTAGCCTGGGGGTGGGCACGGAGCTGGCACTGGAGGAGGAGCGAAGCCTGCGGGGACCAGGCAGCTGCCTGTGGGCTGGTGGAGCAGAGCTCAAAGCCCTGCTCTGCTTCCCTGGGGAGTGGGGAGCAAGGGGGGGCTCTGCCCAGCTGCGGGGTTGTGGACAGCACTGTACTTAAGGTCTGGTTTGTATTAAATGTTTGCAGCAAAACAAGCCTGGCTGTGGCGGCTCTCTGTCCCTGTTAAGTGCCAGGGTTTGGGGCTCACTGGGGTGACAAGAGCCATACCAACAGCAAGGGTGAGCAGTGCTCCCCAAAACCCCTCCGTTTGCTGGGCAGGCAGAGCTCCGTCCTCTCCCTGCCCTGGAGCCCAGGATGTGGAGGCCCCTCTTTCAGCCCAGATGTTGACCTGAAGTAATCCGAGCTGCTGCTGCTCCGGGCAGGACAACCTTAAAGCATTTCCAGACTTCCTGGCACCTCAGCAGAGGCCCCTTTAACCCCTTCCTTCCCTCCAGCCCCGGAGCTGCAAAGCCCAAGCATGGCTGGGATGCTCAGCACTCTCCCTCCCAGAGGGGGAAGCAATGGACCAAGGGCCCAGAAAGGGCTTGTCTCCCAGATGACTGCACAGGGGACAGCAACTGCAAGGGGAGCTTAGGGAAAAGGGCTGAGAACCACTCCAGAACCACGTCTAGCAGCTGAGAAACCTTTGTCTGTCCTAAAACCCAGGCCAGAAGTGAGACATGGGAGAAAATTCATGTGCAATCCTGAAAGCAAGCACTTTGGCTTGCTTTCCCTCACCACAGGGGGCGTTCACCAGCGGGCAAAGAAATTAGCACATCCAAGGCAAAGGCAAAACTGAAGGAGTTTAATGTGCTTAAAGCCAGGGAACAGCTAATCCCCGCCCAGAACCACAGGAGAACCGGCACAGGGCTGGGAGCAAGGATTTACTGCAAATTCATCGAGCCGGGTTGGTACTGGATGGATGGAGAATCCATAATGCGGTGCCTCGCTGAAGGCAAGAGGCGTGATGGGGCCCTCAGCGGAGTGCAGGGCTTTAGCACAGAGCTCCAAAACCAGAGAAGATGAGGAGGTAAGTGGAGAAAGGGGAGTGTTGGTTGCCATTGACTGGGCCAGGGATCAGCAGGGAGCTGCACTCAATCAAAACAGTATTTCTGAGACAGCAGTGTGGTAGACCTCTGCCACCTGTGCACGTGTAAGTCAATTACTCTGGTGCCCTGTGGATGTGGCTGGTGAAAGGGGAGACATGCAGGGAACCCACCACTACACCCATGCTGGTGCAGAGGAGGCTGTTGGCCCACTGGGGTGGCAGGGGCCTGCTGTCATCACCCTGAACAGGTCTCAGCCTGATGGGAGCAGGCTCCCAGGGCTGGCAGCTCTCCTGGCTCATACCGAGCCCTTGGGAGCAGAGGTGGTGCTGGGGGAAGCAGGTTTTGTGCAGCTTCCTCCAAGGTCTGCAATCTGCCTCTCCCACCCAGCCCTGTGTGCCAGTGCCCTTAGCACAGCCTCATGTGGCTGTTTTCCCAGCATGGGCTGTTGCAATTACACTGTTGAAATTGGGATTCTCACACCCAGCTCCTGCAGGGTGAGCTGCCTCTGCAGCTCGGGCTGATTCAAAGTTCCTCAGCCTCCAAGATGGGCAAAGACCTTCCAGGGAGTTGGAGACAACTTTTGTAGAACAGGGAGAGCCTGGTGAGGGGTGGCAAGACCATGCCTGTAGTGCCCTTTGGTGGAGAAACACCCAAAGCTGAGGACCTCAGGTGCTGCAGGCAGCAAGTGCTCCCTCAACAGCCTCAGCCCGGGCCTCCCTACAGAGGGACACAGCCTGGTGCTAGGGCCCTGTGCTGTCCTTGAAGCCTTCACCCTGCCTCAGGGCTGGTCCCTGGGCTGCAAGAGAAGCAGTGTGTGAAGCTGATGCTCACCAGCTTTAATGTCTGTCTGGAGTAGGAGTTGAGGCACTTGCAGGGCTTCTGGCCTGCATCTACCCCTCTGGGGGTGCTGGGAACCTTCCAGGAGGTTAAGCCCCAGCACAGGCTCTTGCTGTGGGGCACGGCATGGGCTGGGGAGCTGACACTGCCCCCTTCCTCCTAAGGCAGGGAGCAGCTGACTCACAGGATAATCTGGTTCTTGTAGCTGCGGCTCAGCTCCTTGTGAGGAAGGACGATAGAGTTGAGAATAACGACCTCGGCAGGGATGGTGACGCTGCAGCCTGCGGGGAGAGTGCGAAGGGTTTATAGGAGGGGAGAGATTCTGCCCCACTGCACCAGGCCAGGGCAGCTGGGTGTGGGTAGGACGTACCCAGGATTGTGATGGATGGCGTCAGGCGCCCGTCCCGGAAGAGGGTCTCGCTGTCGATCTTGGCATAGGGATCGTTGGGGTTGGGGTCACTGGGTGTTCCCTCAACCCGGGCCCAGCGCCCGATGGTGCTGTCCCAGCCCACGATGGTGTTGAGGACACAGGTGTGGTCCTGGGGTAAAGGAGAAGGGGATTGCAGGATGCTGCCGCCTCCCTGGAAGGGGTAGGGGTAGACAGCAACGCTCTCAGGCAAACCCCACTTACGTGGAGTGAGGCCCCGTGCAGGACGATGGACTCTCGCACGCGCACGCCAGCTCCCACCATCACCCCCTCCCCAATGGAGACATTGGGGCCCAGCTGTGAGGACAGAGGGAGGTGATGAGGTCAGGGACAACCCTACCCTCGGCACCCCCTGAGCATGGCCCTCCTGTAGGGCCCCCAGGCCTGCACTCACCACTGCGGTGCTGTCAATGGAGGCCGTGGGGTGGATGTACACGTTCCCTGCAATGCAAGGCAGCTGCGTCAGGAGAGGCAGTTTACGTAAGCACCCACCTCTCTGATCAGGGGAGGTCCCACTGCCTCCTCAGGCAGCACCCAAGGTGGCAGGGGTTGTCAGAGGGGGTACCTCGGATGATAGGACCTCCAGGCTTGTTCTGGGCCAGCCTCTCTGGGTGGCTTTTACTGTACTGGTTCAGGTAAAGGCGGCTGGCATAGATAGCAGAGCTGGGGGAGGAAAATATAAAGACTGTTATTGCCTCTAGCACTACTAGGGCCGAGGAGGGTTCAAATTCAGCACCCCTCACCCCCAGGGCCCTGCCTGGGCACCCTCCTCCCCCATCCCTGGTACAGGCTACTCGATGTTCCTGCTGTGCCAACTCCAGTCCTAGCCCTTACCCAGCGGACTTGATCTGGCTCCAGAAGCCATTGGTTTTGTAAACAAAGAGTTTGCCACTTCCAGCCAGCGCCGTGAAAACATCCTGCTCTAGCCGGATCACTTCTGCACGCTGCCAGCTGTTGGAGCTCTCCTCTCTGCAAGTGAGAGGCTCGTTAGGCACCCACCCCAGTCACGCCCTCAGCCAAGGAACCCAGCAAATACCCTCCCCAGATGCAGGGACTCTGGTGATACTGGACTCCTACTTAACCATGCACTTCTCCCCAGTGCTGGAGAAGCTCCAGCTGCCAGGCTAGGCCTGTCCAGCCCTGCTGAGCCCCAGAGCAGCAGAGGGGCAGGGCTGTGCCAACTGAAACAAGCTCTCAGCCAGAAGGTGATGGTGCAAGAGCCCCACCCGGTCTAGGTAGGTGTATGAGCGACTGATCTGCTCCCACTCCAGAGCCCTGCACAGCTGGGTGTTTGCTTGAGTGGTGGCAGAGGTGCCAGGCTGGCTGGGGCAGGGAGGGCTGGAGCAGGGAGCAAAGCATTACCAGGTGAAAGACTTGCTCAGTCCCTTGTCCAGAGCTGGATGAGGATGGGGTGGGAAGAGGAGGAGGAAGAGGGGGAGTCTCAAGCTGGCCAGGAGGGGAGCAAAGGAAAGAACAGCCTTGCAGAGGGGCCTAGAGCAGGAAGGGATGCATGCGTTATTGCTAGGGACGACAGCCAGTGCAGACACAGAGGGAGACTTACCCAAGGTAAGGACAGCTGGTGCAGGACCAGGAAACAAGTGAGTAATGGCAGAGGAGGAGAGAAGATAGAGAAAGAATGGAAGATGAGCGTGCTGCTGCAGCCCTGGGAAGCAGTGAGGTAAGAGGGATGTGGGGCAGTGAGGGGGACTCACAGCATGAGCTCCTGCTGGTTTCTCTGGAAGACCTCCCCGATGTGCTGGAAGATGTCAGGTGTGAACAGGTAGATGCCACAGTTAATAATCTCACTGACAAATGTGCTGGGTTTCTCCACATAGTGCTGGACCTGGAGGGGAGGGAAGAGATGTTAATCCTGGGGCACAGCCACTGTCCCCAGTGTCGCACTCTCTGTGGCACACCAGGATTGTGCGCCTACGGAGGGAGTGCAGCACCCACTGCCCAGGCCATGCCCAGCTCCCCAAGGCCCTCCAGTACCTCCTGTGTGTCTGCACTTGCCACGATACAGCCATAATTCAGGGCCTGTGTCCTGTTGGCCTGTGGAGCAAGGATGTGTTAGCAATGGCAGAGCAATGGGCATGCAGATGTAGAGCAGATGAGACCCAGAGCTCACACCCAGGGACCCATCCACCACAGGAGCCACTGGCTTCTAGACAAGCCCATGGCAGAGCTGCCACTCACTGTGGTACCCAGAATGACGAAGCTGTTTGCATCCCCGTGCTGTTGCCGGAACTCCAGCATCTCCTGCAAGGGGAACTCTGAGCACACATCTGCGTTGAGGACAAAGAAGGCCTCGGCACCACCTGACAGGATCTGGTCTCGGAAGTGATAGATGCCACCACCCGTGCCCAGCGCTGCGTACTCCTGGAGATACCTGCGAGCCAAGCAGGGAAAAGTGACAGCTTAGGGAAGCAGGTGTCTAGTGGCACCAACCAGCAGCAGGGAGGGGCTCACAGGGGCTGGAGAGACCACATCCTGCCATGCAGTGATAGGGCTCATGCGGACATGAGCACAATGGAAGGAGGTTGTGGCGGACTGGAGCTGGGCTGGAGAGGCACCTTTGGAGCAGGAATTGGCCAAGACAGCATGCAGAGCAAGGGAAATTTGGCAGTCCACAGCAGGACAGGGCGTGATGCCCAGGTGCTGGCAGATGAGGGGCTGAGCCGAGCTGTGCTGCCATAGGTACCAGGGGGTGCGAGGGCTCCTGCACACCTGATGGGGATCTTGAACTCCTGTTGTGCTGACACCAGAAAGCGGCTGAGGGCCTCATGGGGCTGGTAGAAGCCCATCAGCAGGATCTCCTTCATACCGGGCACCT